AACACGAGCTGCCACCGCCACAAACTGGCCAGCTGTGACCGAGAGCACTTTATCAAATGGCAAATAACGGCTAGCTTCTCGATCTCGGCTATTTTCTGAACCTACAATTTTTGTTTTGTAGGCATCGGGTACGGCTCGGTGGTGAACTGCAGGCGGCGTCGCACCCTGCACTACCTGCAGGAGCGCGACCTGCGAACAAATATACCTACCAAGACGATCATCGCCTGGTTCCTCCGGCGGTCGTTTTCTTTCTCCTTCGACGAGGACGCTATAGCCCGTGATGCTCGGCTTGAAACCTGACTGGCAGGTGGGCTACCGGGTGCGGAAGGCGATCCACCGCACCAATCTTGCCATCCGCCCCGTCGTCCGCTGGTTGTTGCCCAACTTCCGCGCCGTCCACTACTTCTACATCATCGCCATGCTGCTTGTGGGGCTGTGGACGATCTTCCCCTGCCACAACCTCCGCTACGTCGACGCCCTCTTCTTCATGGTCGGGGCGCTGACCCAGGGCGGGTTGAACACCGTCGACGGCAACAAGGTCTACTTGTACCAGCAGCTCATGATCTACCTCGTCACCACCCTCACCACCCCCATCTTCATCCACGGGCTGCTTTTGCTTGTGCGGCTCTACTGGTTTGAACGAGAGTTCGATAATATCAAGGAGAAACTGACGCTAAACCATAAGATGCGGCGCTACCATTCGAGCGACTCGGGGCGCTTCCACGACCAGCGGCTTAATGAGAACACCGTACGCAATCAGGGCATCGGCATGGCGGCGCCAGCGGCCCCGGCTAAACTGCTGCTGCCGATGCTGCCGATGCTGCCGCTGCTGCTGCTGCTGCTGGCGCCACTGGCGCCTCTGGTGGCCCTGGCGCTGCTGCTGCTGGGGACGGTCGCCGCCGACGGCGCCGCCACCACCACCAAAGACCCGCGCCACGACGTCACCTTTGGCGCTCTCCCCAAGCCGCCGCTGCACCAGCGGCGCCACCAGCCCAATCCTGAGGACATGTACCGGCTGATCGCCATGCTCAACCTGGGCGACGATAAGGCCGCCGACGACGATAATAACGACCTGCCGCTTGTGGTGCGCCCGCCCAACGAGGTCGAGCGCGGCGACGGGCCCGCGGTGCTGCGCCGCAAGCTGTTCAACTTCCCCACGCTGCCCCTGGACCTCAATTTCAGCTGGAAGCGGCCGCGGCTCACCAAGTTGCGCAAGCTGTTCACCAGCGACCGCAAGCCGCTGGAGTTGGCGCGCACCCCGACCTACGACGACAGCAACGCCGACGAGGACGCCCTGATCGACCTGGAGGTGGTGCTGGACGACGACGACGACCTGCCGGAGCCGACACCGTCCACCGCCACTAAGTTCAACACGCGCAGCCTCGGCGGCAGTGGTGGGGGCAGTGGCGGCGGCACGCATGGCGGCGACGGCACCGGCGCCCACCTCCGCGCCAAGGCCAAGCGGCTCTGGCGAGAAACGCTGGCGTTTATTAAGGACGAGGGGGTGATGCCCCCCGAACCCAGGGAGCTGGACTCGGACTACAACCCGTTGCACAAGCTGATGCTGGCCAACTACTTGCTGTGGAACCCGACGTTGGGGCGCAACTCGCAGTTCATCAACTTGACCGAGGAGCAGAAAGAGGAGTTGGGCGGCGTCGAGTACCGGGCGACGAAGCTTTTGGTCAAGATCGTGTTCACCTACTACGTCGGGTTCCACCTCGCGTGCTTCTTCTTTTTGCTTGGGTTCATCAACGTTCGCCACGACTACGGGGCGAAGATGAGAGACCAAGGGATCTCGCCGAACTGGTGGGCGGCGTTCACGGCGCAGCTGCTGTTCAACGACTTGGGGTTGACGATCACCGAGGACCTGATGATGACGTACTCGCACAACATCTACGTCCTCCTCATCCTGCTGTTTTTCATCGTCATCGGCAACACCGGCTTCCCCGTGTTGTTGCGGTTCATCATCTGGGTGATGAAAAAATTCAGCAAAAAAGACGGCCAGCTCGAGGAGCTGTTGGGGTTCTTGCTCGACCACCCGCGGCGGTGCTTCACCCTCTTATTCCCGCTGGGGCCGACGTGGTGGTTGTTTTTCTTCGTCATCATCCTCAACGGCGTCGACTTGCTCTTCTTTATGGTGCTTGACCTCACCAACCCCTACTTCGACGATACCCCGATGGGGATCCGGGTGGTCCAGGGGCTTTTCCAGGCGTTTCTGACGCGGACGGCGGGGTTTTCCTGTGTCGACGTTGCCAGCTTGCACCTGGCGGTCCAGGTGCTGTACGTGATCATGATGTACATCTCGGTGCTCCCCATCGCCGTCACCATCCGCCGCACCAACGTCTACGAGGAGCAGCTGTTGGGGCTCTACGGGCGCCAGGAGCAGTTCGACCCCAACCTCGAAAACACCCCGCGCCACTACATCGGCCAGCACTTGCGCAACCAGCTCTCGTTCGACTTGTGGTTCATCTTCTTGGGCCTCTTCATCATCTGCATCTGCGAAAACTCCAAGTTGGACGACAACGACATCCGCTTCACCCCGTGGCTGGTCCTTTTCGAGGTGGTGCTGGCCTACGGGACCGTGGGGATGCTGTTGGGGTACCCCGACGTCAACACCTCGCTCACGGGGAAGTTCACCACCCTCTCCAAGTTGGTGATCATGGCGATGTTGATCCGGGGCCGCCACCGGGGGCTCCCGTACACGTTGGACCGTGCGATCATGCTCCCGCTGAAGCAGATGCGCGACCGCGACTTGATGCAAGAACTGCACGAGCTCCGCCGCCAGAGCACCCTCGACCGCAGCAACACCGACCGCCTGGGCCGCCTGGGCCGCCTGGGCCGCATCTTGCCCGACGGCAACTTCCTCACCGACCTGAACTTCTTGACCCGCATCATCACCGGCGAGGGTCCCGTGTACGGCCGCCAGCGGCCCCAGCGGGCCCCCGACCACCGCGGCCACGACCACCGCCCCGAGGAGATCCTGTTTGTCCCCGGGCGCCGTCGCGTCCCGCAACACGACGACGACGACGACGGCGATGGCGACGAACCGCCCGCCACCAGTAGCTCGCCGGAAGAGCCCCACGCGTTCCGCCCCGAGGCGTCGCCGTCGTCGCTTAGCGGCGCTGCCCCGCCCCCGCTGGCACCAGCGGTACCTCGCCCGCTGCTGCCGCCGCCAGAACCGGCCCGGGTGGCGGTGACGCCCGGATACGCCGTGGTTGACCTCAACAATGAGGACATGCTGATCAAGCACCTCCGCCAGCAGCTCGGGGGGAACGGCGGGCGCCACATCGTCGAGATCGACGACGACGGCAAATTGCGGGTGCACCGCCCCAAGCACGGCATCCACCTCCACCGCCACCGCCACGCCAGTCCCGGACGCGACCCGCTGGCGCTGCCGTTGATGCTGACGTCGCCGGGGCCGAGCGACGCCCTGGTGTTTTCCGACGACGACTGACGACCATACGATAGAGTATACTAATATAGCTTGCATGATTAGATGCGTAGCACAAGGACTAGTACATATCTAGTGTTTAGCCACGGTTAGAGGACCACCGATGCGACTACCCAAGCTTAAGAAGGACGTTGGGAAGTGGTTTAAACCTCTGTCCAAATCCTTTTCTATGCTTACTCTTCTAGTAGGACGGCAGATCATGGACGATCTGGGTGGTAACGTCATTGTCTTTGCAGAGATGACTCCAGTTTACGTTCGAAAAAGTGGATGTGGGAAGTCCCTTCAATAGTATTTATCTTTTGAAAAATGATGTCACCACTATAAATGACCTTGATGGGATCAATGGTACCGGTGACCGCTTGAGAGTGGTTTATGGTGCTGGTGGTGGTGTCGGGGCAATTACGGTTTAATAAAGGAAGACCGATAGTGTCACGCTGCCAGCTTTGGAGATATTAAAAGAAAATCGCTTGTACGACTTGAAGACACTGGAGAATGCGAGTTGGGGGCGATTGCAAAATACGATAGATAATAATTGGAGCAACAATAGTGGTAGGATGGTGTCCCCTTCCCTGCTACGCCGTCGCTAGGGCCACGTGCCCGTACCTCCCGGGTACATGGCTATAAAATACATGGTTGTCGACTACTAGTTGGGCTCGACGACTTGCATTTCGATCAAAGCTCCGTTGCAACCTTCATTTTTCTTTTAGTTGAGATTGTCTTTTAATGTAGCTCAGCCTCCCAATTTAGAGAATAGTTGATAGACTATGACCGTAGTTGCTTAGACGATGACCGATGCCTGCACGACTACAAATACTCTGCAAATCGAATGGCTCACGAGTGACCCAGCGAGGGGGAGTTTCGCTTCTAGACCCGCATTCCGGTCACAGAGCAAGCACGGTTTCGTCAGTGTGTGTGGGGCCAGCAAGCGTGGTTCGTTTCGTGGTGGTCGCCGCTCCCCTCGGTTGTTTGCTGCCCCATTATACTCCTGGTTCCTTGCATGGCTTTAGACCCTTCGATGATGGCGTGACTGTGTGCCCCTTGGCCTTCCGACTAAATTTACGTGGTGCGCGCGGACGCGGTCTAGACCCCGGGGACAGGGACCAGCATTGCTGGCAAAAGCCGGCGCTGCCAGTGGCCAAAACGATCGCCCACAATCAGCGACCTCGGAAAATTCCGAAGCTCCTGCCCCCGTCTCAATCGCTCACACACCCTGAGCCTTTGACGTCGTGTTCTCGTCCTGCATGTCGGCGGAGACGATCTTGGAGATGGTGCCGGCGATGGGCCCTTGATTGCTGCGTCCGCATCGCAGAAGGGGGCCGTTGTTCCCCGGCCACTGGGTGGGGCAGTTTCAGGGACGGTTGCCAGGTGTTGCTGCGGGGCACGAGGCCACGCCTTGGCTTGGGCGTTTATGTCCCAACGGGGCAATATCCGACGAAACGACACCGGGTGACCCAGCATGCTAGAACCAAACCACCGACAACACCGAATACCGTCATGGCTCCTGGTGGTGAGCCCGGGGTTTTGGTGCTTTTACTTGTGCTAGTGTTAGCCAACGGTTAGAGCTACAGCCCCGCCTTACCAAGGCAACAGTGTCGGCGGGTAACCTAAACCGCCTTTTGTCGTCACTGGTCAACGACACAAGCGCCAAGACGCGAACCACCTCGTACTGCACCTGGCTGGATTAAGTGGCGGTGCAGAGCGTCTTATGCAGCTACCAAATTTTTTTTAGTATACTTTGTAAATTTAGCTTTTTGGCTCGTGTTTATATGCAGGTGGACATCCTAGGACCCACCGGCAACAAAGCCTTCCTTACCGCGCCCTAAGCCACCAAGGTACACAAACGCGTAGCGGCATGGGTAGCGAGATATGGTACAGCGGGACACGAGGAAAACAGGGGAGCGAAACGCCCGGGGCCGCAGGGTGTGGTGGTTCGCCGGCAGCGGGGCCAGATCTACAGAAGGGGCACTCTCGCATGGGTATTATTATAGAACTCTTGTCGCTGGTCAATAGATTTTGACTACTCAAAAAAAAAATCGTTTTCTCGGTTTTCGCGTCTGGGGGGTGTCCGGGACCGCCGCCAGTTTTCACCGTGGGGGTCGCCAAATTCTCCGAAGATATTTTCCGTGGAAACACACAGACGGTGAAAACGACGGGGTGTGTTTTCATTTTGTAAGGGCGAGGACGGGGCCAACAGACGGGGCGGGCGCTGGACAGCGCGGGGCAGCGCGGGGCAGCGCTAAGGCGGCAGCAGGCGGTATCATCGGCGAGCAGCCCGATAATACAAACAAACAACACACCCAGAACTCATACGGCTATATCGTCGGGTAAACACGTAATTGCCTGGGGGCCGTAGACTTCGCCTACTGCTTGAACTTATCATCGTAAGGAGACAATAAGTTGTTGATGGTCGGCATCTTTGTCGGCACCGCCAATAACTCCGACTTCACTTTGGTTGTGCTCAGGTCGACGTCCATGGCGTCGTCGGTGGCGGGGGCCGCCGGCGGCGATGACAGCGTCGTCAGCGCCCGCGCCAGCAGGGTCCGGTTAAGCACGCCTTTTAGCCACGGCTGCGGCGCCGCGGGAGCGCCGGCCGCGCCGGTGGCGCCGGCGGCGGTAGTGCCGGTGGTCAGCTGGGTGGGCACCGCCGGCGCCAGCACCAGCTGCGGCATCGCGAGCGCCGGTGGCTGGGGTGCCAGCGTCGGCATGGGCCCCGGGGCGCCCGTGGGCTGGATCGGGGGGATTCTCAAGTTCAGCAGCAACGCCACGAAGCGCGGATGGCCGTTTTTCACCGCCATCTGGTTGAACAGCTGGTGGAAGAGTGGCAGCAACGGCAGCACGAGGTTGGGCGTCAACAGCGGCACCGCCAGGTGGGGCGCCAGCAGCGCCGGCGGCATCGGCAGCGGTGCCGCCAGGTTCACCAGAAGCGGCAGCGAAAACGCCAGCGACTGGCCGGTAGGCTGAGCGTCGTGGACAAACAGATGCGACAACTCCAACGGGCGCGGGCGCCGTTTCGGCTTGAACTGGGTGTCGGGGAGGCGGATCAGCCCCAGCGGCGGCGGCTGCAGTTCCAGCGAGTCCAGCAGCGTCGGCGAGGTGGTGGTAATGGTGGGGGCCGAGGTTGAGGTGGAGAGGGGCGGCGGTGGCGGTTGTTGTTGGGGCATCCCCGAAGGCGGGGCGCCGTTGGCCATCGGCGGCGCCGGCGCGGGGGCACCGGGATGAGCGCCAGCAGCGCCATTAGCTCCCGGGGCACCAGGGGTCGCGGGTGGGGCCGCCGCTGCCGGCGCCCCGGGGGCGCCAGGGGCGCCCGGCGGCGGGGCGCCGTTATAATAGGGCGACGGCTGCGAGTAGGCGTAGCCGTAGGGGGTTTGGTAGTATGGCAGCTGGGCCCCCGGCAGCATCATGTGGGGCATACCGTACTGGGCCGCGGGGGGCGGCGGCGGTAGCGGCGCCGCCTGGTAGCCGTAGCCAAACACGGGGTTGGTCGGGGTCGTCAGCGCCGGCGCCGGCGCCGTGGTGCACTTCAGCCCTTCCTTCTGGAGGAAGGTCTCGTAGGCGTGCACCGTCTGCTTGTGCTGGCGCAAGTTGTCCAACCGGCTGAAGTTCTTCAGGCAGTACGGGCAGGTGAACGGGCGCTCGCCGGTGTGTTTGCGCTTGTGGCGCGCCAAGTGCTCCAGGCGGGTGAA